GGCCCGGATAGGCCTAGATAAGTCTTTTAATTTTACACGTATCACAATACCTCATATTGAAATTTACCCCCAACTTTTGCGGTAGACAAATGCTGAACAGTTTAGATTATACGACCTACTATGGCTATCAATATGGCCACTACATCCCAAAATAAAGTTTCCATATTAAATACGCTTTGATCTCTTGATTCTGAACAACATAGAAAAAATCGCAAGGTTCTAGCACAATTTTTATAATGTGGCCACTTTATCGGTCAATCCAGATTATCCGGAGAACCAGAATATGGCCACTACATCCCAAAATATAGTTTCCATATTAAATACGCTTTGATCTCTTGATTTGAACAACATAGAAAAAATCGCAAGGTTCTAGCACAATTTTTATAATGAGGCCACTTTATCGGTCAATCCAGATTATCAGGTGAACCAGGATATGGCCACCATATTCCAAAATATGTATTCCAAGTTAAATACGCTTTGATCTCTTGATTCTGAACAACATAGAAAATATCGCAAGGTTCTAGGACATTTTTTATAATGTGGCCACTTTATCGGTCGTTCCGGATCCTTTAGGCTAGAGAGTTTTCCTGAGGGTGTCTTTTTACGATATATGCATAGTACTATCAATTTTCAGTAATATACGTTAAGTAAAGTCTAAAATTATGTCGATAGATAGTGGAATTTCCTAAATTTACCGGGAACTCGGGTTGATCCCGGCCCTCTATCTCGGTATGCAAAAGTCTCCGGCCAATGAGACCTTCACCAATCAATTCAGGAGAGTTTTTCCTTTGAGAATATGTATAACATGTTGACTGAAACCGTTTGGCAGCCGAGATATTCAATTTAGTCGCGGTTTTGTCACTTTTTGCCCAGTGTGCACCGGCGTGATTACACAACAAAAAATTAAAGGGTTGTGTCCTAGACACGACCGCAGTATGACGTAGAACTACACAAAATTGATGTTTTTCATGCATTTTTGACTATTATACTTTATCTTAAAATTTTCAAGTATTTCAATGTTTAAGTTATGGTTCACTCAAAACAATTTACACATTTTTCTTGACAAATATCTATGTGAAATTCCACATGATTTTCATTTGACCACACATCAACAGAATCAACTCAGAAGTACACATGAAATTTATACGTAAATGAATAGTATGTGTGGTCACGCATAGTTTTTATATGTACACATATTAAGTATGTGGCCGACACATAGATATCATTTGTTGATTACGTTGCAACAATTCATGTGTGGGACACATAAAAACCATATTATTAGTGTTAGTGTTCAATGTTGGGTCAAGTATTTTTCCTGGAATGTAAATTATGAAAATTCAAATGTGTGGTCCTAAACAAGTCGTTACATATTTTGGCGTAGACACTGGTAACTGTTTGAATTTCCATTATATGCAATTAAATTTTAAAATTAACTTTTTAAATTATAGTTATGGCCCTTAAAAGGGCCGCTTGATATTGTGGTTCCGAAAGAACCGTTGGGTGATGTTGAAATTTGTCCCTTCTAAGATGTTCGTGGGCCTAATAGTTCGTCATTTGTTGATTGAAGAAGTTCTTGAGGTATCAAGTATATGCCATGATGAAGTCACACGATGATCTTCTAATCATCGGTTGGATGAAGTTCTGTCCTAGAAGAGTAGTCTTATTAATATTGGTGGAATTTGGTTTTGTAAAACGCACTGTGTTCAAATCTTCAGTATTGAAAGTATCGGTCTGTGGTTTGAGAAATATGAACAGTATCTCTTGCATTCCGCACTGCAGTTTGTTTAAAATTTATTTCCCGGAAAAAAGTGATCGTCAAAGTCCATGTCTTTTTCGGGTTATTGTTAAGGGAGGGGGGGTGGGGTGGTTGTTGTGTAGGGGGAGGGGGTTTACATACATTGATTTTCCAAGTCTCATTCCTCATTGTGGTGGTCACGCCGTGATCCACCTTTAGCCGCTGACTTGGTCCTGCTTGGTGCAGGACCAAGCGCCACGCCGTCCGAAGCGGCAATGAGCCAAAGCACGACAGCAGCGCTGTTTTATATCTTTTCAGGTTCAATCAGAATGATGTGCAACCACACCTGATAAGATTTCCCGCCGTTTTTTTTTATAAATGGGGAGGAGCAGAAAGTTTCTTGTGTGCAGAATATGTAAAAAAGAATGGACTTTGGATGTTAATATAATTGTATATATAGAGGTACCAGATATGTTTTGCAGTCAGTTGTTCGTAATTCATCGAGTGTATGTCTCCTCTTAAGTATTTTTTTTTAAATGTTGGCTCTGCATGTAAAAAATTAATTGTTTTTACATAATTGTGGTTTGCTTAAAATTTATTTCCCGGTAAAAAATGATCGTTAAAGTACATGTCTTTTTCGGGTTGTTGTTAAGGGGGGTTTTTTTTTTTCAAGCAGAATGATCTGCAACCAAGTGGTATTCCTTTATGATGACTTGGTTTGGGGAAAACGTTTAGTTCAAGAAAACAGTAACCAAAATTATATTATATTTATTTGGTACGTCACATTTCCGTAGAAATCTGATCGATAGACTTGGTCATTGCTGAAATCGTATGTCTATCCAGCGGGACACGGGTTTTCCGGGAAGCTTTGAGATACGTTCAAAATCCTTGAAGGTACGCTATGGTACGCTATTGGTACATTCAAAAACACGTATCAACTTTGAAATTCATGAAGTTTGTCCCGCTGGATAGATTGACGTACCCCTGACAGTTCTCATTCTCTTTTTACATTGCTAAAAAAACATGGATGGATATAATTATTATTGATGGTAAAATTACACTGTGAAAATTATGTTTTGTTGTTGAACACCTCAAGTTTAATTTTTAAAATGTTTGATCATATTTTAAAAATCTGTGTAATGTGTTAAAATCATAGAAATCTGTTGTATGTGAATACATAATCTTGGTTTTAAAAACTCTGAAAAATCTGTAGAAATGCAGATTTATCTGTAGTTTTGGTAACCCTGGTGAGCACCCGTCTCTACATCTACATCGTTCGTCCATTATCGTGCGCCTGTGTGCCCTGAGTGCCGCGCCTCGATCAAGTGCACCACAGTGAAGGTCATCCACGCTATGCCTCGCTTCCCTGCCATCTGTGTAAACGCCTACACACATACCGCTCGGTGGTAGTAGCAGGCCTGCACATAATCATTACAGCTAAAATATTACTTTTCGAAATTATGAAACAATGAGATATTATAATAATAATTTGTATATGTAAGATGCAAGAAGAGGATGTAAAGTTTGTGTATGACACATAAAACCTGTCAATTTTGCTTCCAGAGTGTCACAATTAGCGATTAGCTGTAACGAATAGTACTCACTCATGACGGTTACTCATTACAGCTAAAACAGCTAATTGTGACCCTCTGAAAGCAAAATTGACTCGTTTTATGTGTCATAAACAATCTTTACCCCCTCTTCTGGCATCTTACATATACAAATTATTATTATAATATCTCATAGTTTCATGATTTCGAAAAGTAGTTTTTTAGCTGTAATGAGAATGTTCAGGCCTGGGTAGTAATATAGGATAATCAGATAAGTTTATGTCTTTGATTCTTTTCCTCCTCCTGGCTTGCAATTGCTCATTACAGCTAAAATGCTATTTTTCGTTATTATGAAACAATGGGATACTATAATGATAATTTTTATTTGTAAGATGCAAGAAGAGGTGGGAAAGATTGTATATGACATATAAAATTTGTCAATTTTGCTTTCAGAAGGTCACAACTAGTGATTAGCTGTAACGATGAGCAACGCGATGAGCGAGCAATCAGCGATCATAAAATCGCTAGTTGTGACCTTCTGAAAGCAAAATTGACAAATTTTATATGTCATATACAATCTTTACCACCTCTTCTTGCATCTTACAAATAAAAATTATCATTATAGTATCCCATTGTTTCATAATAACGAAAAATAGCATTTTAGCTGTAATGAGCAATTTCAAGCCTGTCCTCCTCCATCAATTAAGTTTTCATTTTGTGTTTCTGCGTTTGTAGTGTTTTCTGTGTATTGTGTCTGTGTGATTATGAATATTATTTCAGTTGTAGAGCGTTTTGTGCTCCCACTAGTACGCAAAAAAAGGGATGTTTTGTCGGAAGACAACATGGATGACCGATCATCTCAGAAATCTGATGATGTCGTCCCTGGTTCGTCGTCTATGTCTGGTAATAAACAAGATCAGAAAAGCCCGAGATCTTGGAGAAGCAGGCGGTTGGCCGTTTCAAGAACCCTTTACTTCCCCCGGTGAAGATCCTGGATGTCCAAAAACTGGGCTCAGTATCGGTCAGCGAGGATAAAAAAAAATTCCCCTACAGACTCGTTTCGCTTGACCTTTTTTTGGTTCAGCCTTTCCTCACTACATCGAGCTGGGAAAAATCCAACTACCGTGAAGGCATCATATTTGACGCGGTTCCTAAATTGACCCACTCGATCATGTTCGACTATTTTCCATTAATATTTTTGAAATTTCAACGTTGCAAATATTAGTTCCAGTGCTCTAGAGATGATAGTGTAACAAAGCTTTTAAAAATATCTCGCCAAAATCGAAATGCGATTCAAAATAAACAAGTTCGTCACCATTAGGAACCGCGTCAAATATTGTGCTGGCACGGTACTTGTGCGCTTGTTCGTTCCCCGGGTCCTGAACTGCCAAAACTGTAAGCAGTTGCGACGTACGGCCTCCCACTGTGGCAGCAAACGCTGTTCCAAATGCGGAGAGAAGCATGAGGATGGCTCCTGTGCAGCTACTGCACTAAAATGTATGTACTGTAAAGGAACTTCTCCTCATGGTCTCTCGTCGTGCCGGGTGTTATGTGCATCGGTGAAAGCATTTGGAAAATTGGTTGTGAAACCACCGAGATCAAGCTGGTTGAACATTTACGACCGAGTGATTCTTAAACCTGGTACGTTAGTATTTTGCTCCCGGTATTTCCAGTGTTAATAATAGAACAAACACAACAATCACACCTACACTTACCACAGCCAGAGGGCCTCGGACAGAACTGTCCCAATCATACCGTTCAGGAAGAGCACCAGAAACTGTTTTCGCGATGGTAGCTCGAACACTTCCAACTGCGAAAAGTTAAGTACGAACAGTAGAGGCCACAGCAGCAGCAGATTCCACATTCCCACAAATCCAAAGAATAGCGGAATGTTAATTTTTTCCTCGGTATCACTTTTTCGCTTGACTAGCACCAAATAGGAGGCATAAAAGAAGGCGCTCGTTATGGCCAGTACAATGCCTCGAGTCATCTTCGGTTCCGATATTTCCGATAGAGAGACCATGACCTAGAAGAGTTAGTATGAGCATAAATTTTTGATTAGAGCCATGCATAGGGAGAAAAAACTTACAGCCCCGGAGATGGTCAGAAGAACTGCAAATATTTTCGATACTGTAAGTTTATCTCCACACGACGAAGGGAACATGGCTGCCAAAACCAACGTGAAGAGGCTTGAGGTTGAACTCAGCAAAGTTACCATGGCGGTTTCGCTTGGCTCCAATGCCAGTTGAAACATGTAGTTGGCGATGAACCACTGGAAGTCAGAAAATAGATTAGATTAGCTTTAAACCGCAGCGTAATAGCATTGAGTTACTCAAGAATTACCAGAATCGAAAACATCAGTGCCGTGCGAGCAGTCTTGTGATGTGATTTTTGGCGACGCACTCTCAAACTGGCGGCATACGAAAGTCGCGACATGAGCGCTTCAGTTGCCTCATGAGGTGACATTTCACGAACTTCGGCTACCTTGCTAAACCGTACACTTCGTATACTAGAATCATCACTCTCGGTGCCAGAAACCTGGGCATCCGCTTTGATTGGGACGAAGGAGGAATCACTCTGCAGGAGAAAGTACATTGTAATACAATTGTTTCAACAATTGAATGAATTCTCTTACCAAACTAGAAGCTCCATTTCCGTAGAAAGCATCGTCTTCCTCTGCCGCTTCCATGAGCTAAAAATAGTTTGACGTGTGAATCTTTACTATTAAACTGTCATCAATTATTCATACCGCATAGTTTCCATTTCGATTGCAACTTTCCTTCCATGGTGCAATGAGTCCCAGAAATACCAGATAGATTGTAAACATAGATGACTTAAAGTAGGTGCAGAAGAACGGCTTGTCGTACTTTTCGTCATCATATAGAAACTGCAAGCAAATACAAGACACTGTTAAACATCTGATCCCCACAATCAATTAATCGATACCAACCTTGGTCAGTTCACTCGAGGATACCCAAATAACATCGACAAGCACTAGCAAGACTATCCCAAGTAACAGTTTTTGTGCCTTATTTAACATTTCACTGTTTGCTCCAGAACACACGTGAGTTCAATTCCCTGGAGGTTGATGTTGTTGTTTCGCCGAGATCAATCAAATTAATGCTTATTATGTGTCTAAATGGTCTAAATGCGTCCGGTGATAAAATTGATTTACTCTATCGCAATAGTTCGGAACAACCTTGTCTCTGCGAGCCTACGTTTTGCTTTTACTCCGCTTCGATGCGGTCTTCAGTAATAATTGATTGCGTTCCGGCGTGATCGTAATTTCACTTGGCGATTTGTGTTGAACAGCTACCCTTGCACTCGTTGCCTCCGTCATTTTCATCATCGGCATAACTTGTCATCCGAGAGCAGCCGACCGTTGGCAATTGTTACATTCCAACTTCGGAAGCAGAATCCCTATCGATTGGATTTCTTTTGTTGATGATACGAGAAATGTGTGGGTCCTGTGGTCACATGATTAAATTGAACAATCTGAAATTAGGAGAAACATAAGACTTTCAAATTATACGAAGAGAACTTTGCGAAAATAATTCATTAGCACTTCAGATTGCTTTATTGATAATGAAAACATCGGGTGGCAGACCGTATTCGAGATGCCAATAACAAAATAAACAAAGCAACAATAAATCTGGTTGATATCTGTATCTTTCCAATCAGTGCAGGAATAAATGGAAGCAGCCAATCGTAAATATCTTTGTAAGATACACTCACGTATTGTTGTTTGCAGTTGGAGTCATGCGGATGGATGTAAATCGTTAGTATCACTACCTGCTAGATACATGATCAATCACATGTCTGTCTTATCAGAGCTCTCATTTACTTTGGCTGACGTTTCCCTACAAGTAAGTTTTTTTTTTTTGTGCAAATTGAATTCACTGTAAACAATGCAAAAATGCAGCTGGGACCAGGCTTATCCAGCTCTATCTGGATTGTTTATTGTTGAGCAAAATAGATAACATCGTCGCAAAATTTACACTCAACTTTGCTTTACTTAGCTGCACAGCTCAAGTTCATAACAAATGCTCGGAAAAGGTGGTTAGTGTTAAATTTTACCATTTTTTCAAAGGCTTTTTTGATTGATGTGTCGCAGATAGATTTGTAACGTTTTTGGAAAGTTCTAGTCTCAATAATGGCAAACATACTTTTGAATATAAAAACCAATAAATGATCCATAACAAAATTAAAAACGCTCCTTAAAAAAACACCCAAATGATCCATAAAAAAAAATCATAAAAATCCCTTAAAGTGTGTGAATGATCCATAAAACAATATCAATATGATCCATATTTTCAGGTAAATTTAGCAACACAATTGTAAAAATGTACCGCTAAATATCTAAAGAATGAGCATTGAAATTTTAAAAATTAACAATACACATATTGCAAATGTATGAATGTAAGGTAGCCACCATCCCCTTCAAAGATCTTGTCTTGTATGTAGCTCCACTTAATAGCAAGATCAATTTGAGCTACCGATCTGAATTCACAATATCGCTGTATGAAGGGCCAAAAACGGAAGGGCGGATCCGTAAGCAGAGACACTTACGTGAAATCCACGGGAATTTAAGAATCTCCTTCCAACGATACGATCCAACAAATCGAATAACGCAATTCGCAATACTTATTAAGCTTCCTACAGGATGGTTTGTTAAGAAGGGTGCGTCAATCTCACTGAAACTGTTGAAATAGAATTCACACCACCACAATCGAGTCGATAGGATAAAGAAAATGATAGTGTTTATTCCCTTCTAGACTCCGGTTGTCATACCACTCCATCGTCCAATTTCAGGTCAATTGATACCCTAATGAATACACATATTGCAAATGATCCATAAAACATTTAGCAATGAACCTTAAACTAATGTAAGTTATCCATAGAAAATCAAGTTTGTGTTCTTAAAAATATAGGCATGATCCATAAATTTTACATATACTGTTCATGTTTCGGACACTAACTTTTTGATTTTGTTCCATAAACCTTGAAAAGATTTTCCATTACTACGTAGCTACTTAGATTTACTGACATATTCATGTTTTTTGAGTTAGAAGTGCTTCCGTAAAAAGCTTCTATAATAATCTTCTTAACACTCTGAACACGATCCCAAATGTGTAACGGCAAACTTGTAATGTTTGAAAAATCATAGCTACTTGAAACTTAAGACTTCAAAGATTTATTCGGTATGAATAGGTTTAAATTCTATTGATAAATTGATGATTTTTCAAACATTACCAATTTGCCGTTACACATTTTACCAGTTGCATCGTGTTCGGAGTGTTAGGAAGCATCCTAAGGAATATTTTTAGAAGCTTCTTTTAGATGCTTATTCTAGATGCTCGCCCATCGCTCCACTCTTCTGACAAAAAACACGGGCAGAACAGTAAACCAGAGTAGCTATGCAGTAATGGGATAATTTTCCAAGGTTAAAAAATAGTGTCCAAAATATAGAAAACATTTGCAAAAAGTTAATGAAGATCATGTGTCAAATGAAATGTATAATCAGTCACACATACCTTTTATGCATTCTTATAGGACCTATGTGGTTTGTCTTATGGAATGTATAAGGCTGATGTTTTGGCAAAAATGTTTATGGGTAATTCGTACAATTTCAATGCTCATTCTTTAGAAATTTAGCGGTACATTTTTACAATTGTGTTGCTAAATTTGACATAAAATATGGATCATATTGATATTTTTTAAGGATCATTCACACTTTTTAATGGATTTCCTGCGGTGTTTTATGAATCATTTGGATGTTTTTTTAAGAACGCTTTCAATATTTTTAAGATCGTTTTATCTATTCAAAAATTGCATTTTTAGAGCTGCCCTCAAAAATTATGCTCATCGGAACCTGCGGAGCTTAGTTGTTCCAACAAATAAGTGTCCAAGAAGTTCCAAAAGTTCTTAGAACAAATTATTTGCGTGAAATTAATGTGCAAAATGATGATTATTAAAAACTGGTTTTTAGGGGTCACCCTACCTTGCATGTAAAAAAGTGTTTAATAAACACAAGTATAAAGCAGTTGTACGTCACATGAAGGATCGAAAAAACTCGACCTTCTCTGATTTGCATGAAACTTTGCATAATTATTTATTTAGACCAATCATTTACATTTTTACAAAAATTCGGCCATTTTGAGTTTTGTGATTTTTTTTTTCAGAATGGGTTCTTTGACTTGTTTTAATCAATGCTGATTGTAATGACGTCTGAGACATAGTTTTTAGGCAAAATGATATCTTGTTGGAGAATAATAGATGATGAATTTTAGTAATTTTTAGTGGAAATTACATAAAAGTGTTAAAAACTCAAATATCCCTTAGTGTCCTTGTCCAGTTTTTTTAATTTTCTTTTTAATAAAAAGTCATGGCAAATTAAATTTTTTGGAATGTTTAAAACTATGGACACATGAGAGTAGACAAAATTTAAAACAAGAATTTTCGGTTAAATTTTTGAATTTTTGTAAGTACGTTTTTTTTTTGTTTTCGGACGATTCAAATTTCGGACACTTTCATTTTTAATTAAATATTACATCCAGTTAGAAACAAAGTAATAATGTTAGATGATCGTGGAGGGCACTAGTCAAAAAATTTAAAATTTACAAGACATGTGGATCATATTCGACCGAGATAATCAACTTTTAAAAGTGTCCGAAATTCGAGTTTAAGTGTCCGAAATTTGAATCGGCACGGTACATATGTAATATTTCAAACATTTTAAACGATTTTCTGTGAAAAAAACTAATATGAAAAGTGTACTAACAACAAGTTGATAAATTTTACCAATAATTTTTGTTCTTAGAATTTTGTCCATATATTTGAATTTTTTCAAAAGTTTCCATTTTTCATGAGCTTTTTTTTTAAAATTAATTGAGGAAGGACGTTTTGAGAATTTTGAATTCTTATCACTCTTTTGGAATGTTTACTGAAAATTACAAAAAAAAATACCGTGTTTATATTTTCCCATTAAGAGCTTATATTGATTTACAACTTTGTTTCATACGTCATTTCGATCCGAAGTGACGTTTACGTGCTACCATTTTAGGAAAAATGTCATATACGACATGCTGAAAAAAAAAAAAATAAGATCCAAGACGGCCGAATTTGATCACAAGTGTGATAAAAAACAATTATGCAAAGTTTCATGTAAATCGGATAGATCATTTTATTTATTTAAAAGACTTTCAAACGAAGACTGGTTCTTCTCTGCGAGCCCCAGAAAATAACCCCCAAGTTGAAGAGTTTTTTAAGAGGGAATGGGAGGTCCGGATGAGATTTCCTCTGTAGTATGGGGAGTCCAGAAGGGCCTCCCACAAGGATTAGTGGCGCTCCAGAAGAGAGTACCCTAAGCAGTCTTGCTGTCTTTGCTGTCTATATTCGTTTATGCAGATTGGAGATGGTCAAGACAAAAATACATTATTTTTATTTTCGCTGTTTGGTCTGGAACTGCTCTATATCACTTAAACCATTAGAGGTAGGTTGGTTTCTTGAGCAAATAAATTGTTCTACATCTTTGTAGAATATTGCACCGGTCTACCGTGAATAATAGACCAGTTGATATTTAAAATTCGCTAACCATAAGCCACACCCAAATTTCACTCAAATCAAAAGATTGGCTAAAAAAATATATATATATATAAGCTTTAACAATTCACTTAACAATAACGGTTTATGGACTAACATTGTTGCCTTTCTAAATATGGTTTTGGGATCATTGTGTAATGTTAGAAGTTCATGGAAAAGTTGCAAAATAGAAACTCATGGAATTTGTAATCAGTGGGGACCGTTTTTGCCATCTTCTCACAACGGTCCTGGTTGCGTACAATTTGATACAATGGTGGTCTCCATCACGGTCCCTTTTTGTCTAAATTGTGGTGTTGCTGCCACCACATTCAAATGAAGAAGTGTTTTTTTTTTACGTTAGCCATTCAAAATAGCAAAACGATTATTTATTTTTATTTTCCTGTACATTTGCTCTTCAAAAATATTTTGAAGCAGTTTTGGTTTCATTGCTTTAGCAAAACATCAAATTGAATACTCGTTTTGTTATCAACAGGAAAAATGTACATCAAATTGAGGTTTCAGTTCGCTCTCACTAATAAAAGAATTAGTTTTCAATGAAATGTCACATGAAGATGCTTTTGCTCTCAGCTTTGATTTTTAACCTTCAAAACGAGAAAAACAACAGCAACCTGAGTAATCATAATCAGCGACATCACAACACCAAATTGAGTATTTAAATTTGAAAACAGGTAGGGGTTTTGATCTAATTTCCGTCCTACTAAGCACATCCCACACTTTACCTCTCTTTTTTGAAAGGGTTTGAACAAAACATGGAATGTTTTCATCAAAGATAACTTCTAAATTTATTCACCTTTCCATACGTACCGTTGGATTGGATAAAGAGTCATACAATGTTGAGATATTATTAAAAATCTAACACTGCTTCTTGATTCTAAATTCGTCCTACGAGTTTC